TTAAATCACTTGCTTAATGTCTGACCTACATTGCTGTATTGTTTAACAGTTGCTGTTACTGAAAGCCAGACTGGCTGTCTCCAAGCTGATAATGAGGTTTGGGGCGGGAAACTGTTACTTTAAACCTATTGGTTGCCACCTAGAGGCTAACTGTATAAATAGCTGTGCAGCAGCCTTTAGGGCTGCTTCTGTTCTGAGTGAATAAACTTGTTGCTGTTTCAACACTCTGCCTCATTCAATACCTAAAGAACTGAAGATATAACATCTACATTTCCATCTGTTGCCAATGCAAAAACATCCGATGTTAGCAGCGTTGACACAGTCCTTCATTCCCTAACTATTCTTCCATTTAAAAATATATTTTCTCGGTCAGACAGGAGATGCCACTGTGAACATTTCGTCCTTTTGGACACCTCTCGCCCATTCATTGGAGGGAGCCTTTTCTATGCTTTCTTTCCATTAGCTCTTTGTAGAAAAATCTGAGAGGACATTTTTAACAGGGATTGTATCTCTTCTCTTCGTCCCCCCCCCTTTTTTTTTTAGCTGGACCAGAGGAGGAGAAGGAAGAAGACAAAGATGGGGAGAATCAGCCTAGCTTGGGGGAACTCTCCATCTCTGAAACCACCAGCAATTCTCTTCACCTTTCCTGGAGTGTCCCAACGGGGAGCTTTGACTCCTTCCTGATTCAGTACGAAGACGGAGCTCTGCAGAGCTTGCCTGTGGATGGGGCTTCCCGTGAAACAGTGGTCTCCAACCTGACTCCATCTCACAATTACCAGTTTGACCTCTACGGCATCTCTGGTGGCAAACGCCTGGGCCCCATCTCCGCCGAGGCCTTAACAGGTCAGCACAATCCACTCACCCCTGACCGTCCTCCCTAGGCTACGGGAAAGTGTGAGTCTTTCCGTCGAGGAATGTTTCCCAACCTTGGCTATGTGAGGATTTTAATTGGCTGAGGAATTCTGGGAGTTGAATTTCACACCATCATGAAGCTACCGAGGTTGGGAAATGTGGGCGGGGTGTCACCCTTGCAGTACATAGGACAATTCCTTAAACCAGGGGTCTTCAAACTTGGTCCTTTTATGATTTGTGGACTTCGACTCCCAGAATTCCCCAACCACCTATGCTGGATGGGGAATTCTGGGAGTTGAAGTCCACATATTTTAAAGTTACCAAGGTTGAGAAATTCTAGAAGGTCCACAGTATGGATTTTGCTCTGCAATCATCTTTTCCCCAGCCCTCTTTTTTTTCACTCTTCCTTTTTTTTTTTTTTTTTACAGCTCCACTATCTCCAAGTCAGGACAGAGAAGAGAGCGGATCTCCAGGGCCGTCTCCAAATCCCAGTTTTGGGGAGCTCTCTGTGTCTGATGTCACCAGCAACTCAGTCCGCCTCTCTTGGAACGTCCCCGCTGAGACCTTTGACTCCTTCCAGATCCAATACAAAGATGCAGAAAACAAACCACAAATGATCCCCGTGGACAAGGAAACCAACACCATTGTGATATATTACCTGGTACCTACCTATAGGTACAAGTTCAATCTGTATGGCATCTCTGGACGTAGGCGTTTTGGACCAATCACCGTCAGCGCCATCACAGGTGAGTAGAAGGTTTAAACCAGGGGTGGGGAAAGATGGCACCTTTAGGACTTGTGGACTTCAACTCCCAGAATTCCTGAACCAGTCAGAATACATCCTTTCTCTCTCTCTTACTCTCTCTCTCTCTCCCTTCTTCTATTTTGGAAGAAAATACAATTAGAAAATACACAAATGCTTGGATTTTTTTCCAAAGTTACAGGAATATACAGATATAGAACAGAGCAGATTTATCAATCAATGCATCTGAAAATGCCCATTAATACTATTTGACCTATTCTATTCTATTCTATTCTATTCTATTCTATTCTATTCTATTCTATTCTACTCTATTCTATTCTACTCTATTCTATTCTATTCTATTCTACTCTACTCTACTCTATTCTACTCTACTCTACTCTACTCTATTCTCTATTCTACTCTACTCTACTCTATTCTATTCTACTTTATTCTACTCTATTCTACTCTACTCTTCTCTATTCTCTATTCTATTCTACTCTACTCTACTCTACTCTACTCTACTCTATTCTATTCTATTCTATTCTCTATTCTATTCTATTTTCTATTCTACAACCTAGAACTAAGGAGAAATTTCCTGACAGTTAGAACAATTAATCAGTGGAACAACCTGCCTCCAGAAGTTGTGAATGCTCTAACACTGGAAGTTTTTAAGAAGAGGTTGGTCTGAAATGGTATAAGGTTTCCTGACTAGAAGACCTCAAAAGTCCCTTCCAACTGCATTATTGTTATTATTATATACTCTTTTCCAGGGCTTTTTTTCAGCCGGAACGCGGCGGAACCGCGTTCCGGCACCTTTTTCCGGGCCGGCCGCACCGGAAATAGCCCCTCCCACACCGGAAATAGCCCCTCCCAAATTTTACTTGCATTCCTGTTCTCTAAAGGGGCGGTCCTAGGGTTTGATGAGGGCGTGGCCAGGTTTGAGTTCCGCCACCTTTTCTCCGAGAAAAAAAGCCCTGCTCTTTTCCAACCTTGTGTTGGTTGAGAATTCTGGCTGATGTAGTCAAACTTAGATTAGATTAGAATAGATTAAAATAATAGAGTTGGAAGGGACATTGTAGGTCATCTAATCCAACCCTCCACCCAAGCAGGAGACCCTACACTATTTCTGACAGATGGCAGTCCAGTCTCTTCTTGAAAGCTTCCAGTGATGAAGCTCCCACAACCTCTGAAGGCAAGCTGTTCCATTGGTGGATAGTTCTCACTGTCAGAAAATTTCTCCTTAATTGTCTCCTTGATCAGTTTCCATCCGTTATTCCTTGTCTGGCCTTCAGATGCTTTGGAAAATAGGTTGACACCCTTCTCTCTGTGACAGCCCCTCAAATATTGGAAGACTGCTATCATGTCTCCCCTGGTCCTTCACTAGACCAACCGTGCCCAGTTCCTCTAACCATTCTTCATATGTTTCAGCCTAATCATCTTTGTGGCTTTTCTCTTTTTCTTGAATCTCAACACCTTTTTTTATAGTGTGGAGGCTTGTTTAGAAGGCTCCAGACTTGACAAACTCCTGATGTGAATTTTGTCTCTGAAAAGAAAGATGAGGGTTTATACTATCCCAGCATCGGCCTTTCCCTGTCTCATCCACTCAACCATGTTTCTTTCCTCTCTAGCACCAGGGGACAATGTAGATAGGAACCAGGAGGTCTCTGGTGGAATAAGCCCTCGCTTGGGCGGACTTTCAGTCTCAGAGGTCACCAGTCATTCGGCCCGGCTATCCTGGACCATCCCAGAGGGAAGCTTTGATGCTTTCTCAGTCCAGTACAAAGATGCTGAAGGAAGACCCCAAGCGCTCCCTTTAAGAGGAGACTCCCGTGAAGTCATCGTTTCAAATCTATCACCTTCTCACAAGTACAAATTCAATCTTTATGGTATCTTTGGAAAACAGCGTCTCGGACCAATCTCTGCCCAAGCGGTCACAACAGGTTAGCAACAACTGCTGGGAAAAAAGTGTTTGTGTGGAGGGGTTGTAATCAGTGAAAGATCCTTGGTGCTCTCTGAGTTTGCTTGTTTTCTTGCAGACGTTTCATTACCCAAACTAAGTAACATCGTCAGTACACCAATGATGTTACCTAGTTTGGGCAAAGAAACGTCTGCAAGAAAACAACCAAACTCAGAGAACACCAAGGACCCCTCATTTTCAACCCAGAGCTATAAATGTTCTCCCTTATTGGATACAATCAGTGTTACTGTCATGATTCCAACAGATGAAACTCTTCAAAGAACTTAAAGAATCTTTATTAGAGAAGCATAGGTCGGCACTAACATAATAGAAACCAAAAACAGGATTCCCCTCCCCTGAGCACATAGTATCAAAGCACAATTCCCTCCTCCAACTAACAGTCATAAATCATATTCTCCCATTAGTTTGAAATGCAGGTTTTCCCTCCAGTTGTCTAGCCCACCAATTCTTATCATCTCTTATTTCAGTAACCTTGGTTCACACACTAAGTCCAATATTGTTATGTCTAGCTAAACTTTCATGCACATTCCTCCCCCCAGCATCATCTAACTCTAACTCTAAGAGTAAAATATAAGAAGAAAATGGTTGCATCTCCAACTGTCGTCAAAGCAAAAACATCCGATGTTAGCAGCGTTGACAGTTACCTTGGCAACACTTGGATTCCAGCTTTCCTTTGATGCTTTTTAGGTCCTTACCTCTGAAACATTCTGAAAGGACCAGTGTGTCCCATTATCGTCATCTGTCTCATGTTCTCTTCTTTCCTCGTCCATTTATTTTAAAAGCAGAGTTTAGTGAGCAACACGGAGTTATAGAAATAAGGGAGAGCATGCTTATAGGTGCAGAATGCATCAGTGGGACAAATTAATATCAAATTATTGACATTCACTTGAAAAAAAACACAATTTTCTCATCCCTATGAGCTGAAATCTGGTGACAGAGAGTCCTTGACCTACGACAGTTCATTTAGTGACCTTTCTAAAGATACAAAAGCACTGAAAAAAGTGAGTTATGACCGTGAACAGGTTAGTAACATGGTTGTTAAATGAATCTGGTTTCCTCACTGACTTTCCTTCTCAGAAGTTCGCGAAAGGCGATCTCATAATACCGGGATATTGCAACTGTCATGAATACGAGTCAGTTGCCAAGTGTCTGAATTTTGATCACGTGACCATGGGTCATACGAGCGAAAACAGTCATAAGTCCCTTTTCTCAGTCCTGTTGCAACTTAGAGCAGTCACGAAACGAACTGTTGTAAATCAAGGACCAACTGTACGTGCATGTTAATAAAAGGCCAAATTTGAAATCCTGCAAGAACTATTACTGCTCTGCCTTCAGAGTCAAATGTGAAATTCCTTCCTGGCAGTTATATACCTTAGGATCCTCCATCATCTTCCTCTTTTTATTTTTTTGCAGCTGCAGAAACATCTGGGCAGGTTGAAGAAAAGAAACAACCGGAGGAAAGTACAGGCAAGAGCACCCAGCCCAACCTTGGAAATGTCACTGTCTCTGAAGTCACCCCTGATTCCCTTCTGCTCTCCTGGAATGTCCAGGAAGGACACTTTGACTCTTTCATCATCCAGTACAAGGATGCTGCAGGCAAGCCCCAGGCGGTACCTGTTGATGGATCCATGCGCTCCCTCCATCTCTACAACCTCACACCTTCACAGACGTATGAATTCGACGTATTTGGAGTTTCTGGCTACAAGCATCTTGGGCCTCTCTCCATTCACACCATGACAGGTCAGTGATTGGCTGTTGGATTGTCTTATTGGTTTAACCGGCAAACTTGCATATTTCTAACAGGTGCACAAATAAAAGTGATTTTGGCCACCCGTCACAGCCAAATGTCTATGGTAGGGGTAGGCAACCTTGGCTCTTTTATGACTCAGGGACTTCAACTAAAAATCTATTGATGAATGTAATAAATATGTTTTTACTTACCTGTAATAATAAAAACTATTATCTTATATATGAGATAGTAGATATTAAGAGAAAAAGAGAGGAAGTATTAAATGTTAAGAGAAATTTTGGTTACTTGGAAATTAACAGAAAATAAGAATGTTATATTGTATTATTAATTAGTTGATGTAAGATGGTGAGAATTCAAATAGATAAGACGTGTATCCTGAACATTAGATCTCGCGATGAATTGTGATAAAGGGAATTGGGGTTATTTAAAATCAGGAAATTATAAATATTCAATGTTACATTTAAATATTAGTGGGAAACTGAAAATTGGGAAAAACTAATTAGGACATTGATTGTCTATAAAGACCGAATGTTAAAATAACTAGGATATGTATAAACTAAAAATTATTGCTAAATGTAAGAAAGCTATTTTCATTTAATCGACATAATAAGAATTGTATTAGTTTAAATATGAGACAGTAAATACTAAGGGGAAAAGAGAGGAAATATTTAATGTAATAGTTTGAGATCTGTACTAAAGACACTTGTATGTTATTGAATTATCGATTAACTCAGCCGCCCCGTGGCTTTTTAAATATTTAAATGTAAAACTAGAAAATCAATAAAATTTTCTTAAAAAAACAAACAAAATTTTTTTGATAACCATCTGTTTTCTTCTTTGTCCTTCTCTACCGCAGAGATATCTGAAGGAGAAAGGACCGTTCAGCCCCAGCTAGGAGATCTCTCCGTCTCTCGGGTCACAAATGACTCGGTGGCTTTGTTCTGGACGGTGGCTGCTGGAAATTTTGATTCTTTCTTGCTCCAATACAAGGACTCTGAGGGCAAGCCCCAAGTCCTGCCCCTAAACGGCACTTCGCGGGACATCGCCATCACCAGCCTGACTCCTTCTCACAGATACAAGTTCAACCTGTACGGCCTGAACGGGCGCAAACGCCTCGGCCCCGTTTCTACCAATGTTGTCACAGGTCAGAGGGAAAACTGGCTTCGGGGACCTCACAGTGGTGTTTATTCATTATGTTTTTGGGTTGTTTATTTTATGGAAAACAGAGGCCAGCTCCCCCCCCAATGTGTTACAGTTGTGACTTACACAGTGCAACAGTAATATACTATAACAGTGATGGCGAACCTTTTAGAGACCGAGTGCCCAAAAACTGGCCCCGCCCCCAATCCACCCCCCTGCCCCACCCCCGTTCTGCCCCCCATCCCTCACCCCGCCTGCCCACAGGACCACTCACTGCCTCCAGAGCCCGCCACAGATCGCCCAGGCAGCCCAGCAGCGCTATGGCGGCCACACCCTCTGCCCGCACCCTGCAGCATCAACTGCACGATGGGGTGTGAGGGCAGAGTCTTGTCAATGCTGCCTGGCTGCCATGTCCTTGGCTGCACTGCTCCGTGTGGGCCGCCCTCAAGGGCGATTCTCCTTCAGGGAGGCTGCTGGAAAGGAGGGGGTCACGGGGGGAGGCAAGGCTGGGGCAATGGCACGTGTGCCCACAGAGAGGGCTCCGAGTGCCGCCTCTGGCACCCGTGCCATAGGTTCACCACCACTGTACTATAAGATACAGAAAGATCTTCCAGAAACTGGAAGACTGTGACTTTGGGCCAATCCCTCCCTCTCAGCCCTAGGAAGAAAAAAGCCAGGGCAAACCAGTTCCCAAAATCTTGCCTAAAAACTGAAACGCATTCATGAGGAGTCAGCGCTGAGTTCAAGAGAGAGGGGGAGAGAGGGAGAGGGAGAGAGGAAGAGGGAGAGGAGAGAAAGATGATACAAGGCTGATATTGATAGAGATGATATAGAAACAGAAAGGCTGATATAGATCAGTGGTTCTCCACCTGTGGTCCGTGAACTCTTGGAGGGGCCGCAATATCATCACTGGGGATCTGCAAAGGCTTGAAGAAATGTTATGTTTTAAATCTTAAGTCTTGTGGGTTCATAGCCATGGTCATTGGCCACAAAAGGTATTTAAAGGGAGCCCATGGTGAAGAAAAGGTTGAGAACTACAGTACTGATATGGATGATATAGAATTACATCAACTTAAAGAAATTGGCTATGTAATGTCTTCAGTTTGGTAGCACTGGAAGCCTCTTCTTGGAAGCAGGCACCGTTACAGTAACTTCAGTGGATGAATGTAGAACATAATAATGTTCATTTACTTCCCAGGTCAATGAAGATCCAACCTAATGATTTAAAGTTTAAAGTGCAGCCTCAGCTATTGGTTTCTCAAAGAAAATCTGCACAAATCTGGTCCTCATTTTTTCAATTGTATTGATTTTGCTGTTTTCTCTCTCTGTCTCTCTCACACACACACTATAATGATCATCTATCTATCTATCTATCTATCTATCTATCTATCTATCTATCTATCTATCTATCTATCTATCTATCTATCTATCTATCTATCTATCTATCTATCTATCTATCTACTTACCTGTCTGTCTGTCTGTCTGTCTTACCTACCTATCTACCTACCTATCTACCTATCTATCTACCTACCTGTCTGTCTGTCTACCTACCTACCTACCTACCCATCTATCATCTATCTATCTCTATCATCTATCTATCATATGTATCTATTGTATCTATCTATATCTATCTATCTATCCATCCATCCATCCATCCATCCACCCACCTACCTACCTACCTACCTACCTACCATCCTATCCTATCCTATCTATCTATCTATCTATCTATCTATCTATCTATCTATCTATCTATCTATCTATCTATATCTATCGTATCTATCTATCATATCTATCGTACCTGTCTATCTATCGTATCTATCATATCTATCTATCTATCGTATCTGTCAATCATATCTATCTATCTATCTCTCCATCATCCATCCTAATCAACCCACCCAAATCCCAAACAAGAGACCTGTGGTATTCCCCTTGTATAATATTTCACAAGAAAACCGGCATCGTCCTATTTTCAATCCAGATCGTCTTCTTTCTCTCTTCCAGGCCAAGGCACCCAACCCCTTAAGCTGGGAACGTTGTCCGCTCACAACATCACATCGGAATCCCTCCTCCTGTCTTGGACTGTGGAATCTGGGAATTTTGACTCTTTTATCATCCAGTACCGGGATGCAGCAGGCAAATCCCATGCGTTGCCTGTAGACGGAGGTTTGCGACTGCTGCGGTTCCACGACTTGGTCCCTTCGCACCGATACAAATTCAACCTTCACGGGGTCTCCCGTCGCAAGCGTCTCGGCCCCATATCTGTGGAGGCTGTTACAGGTCAGTTGCAGCCCTAATAGTCCCCCCCCCTTGGCAACTGTTTCTCCTCTTTCTGTAGTGCTTTTCTTTCCCGAGACAACGTCTCATTTGCCATCTGAAAAACATGTTTGTTGTTTCTGGGTTTCAGTTTCACATTGCTACTAGGAAAGAGAAGGACAGGGGGGGACATGATAGCAGTGTTGCAATATCTCAGGGGCTGCCACAAAGAAGAGGGAGTCAAGTTATTCTCCAAAGCGCCTGAAGGCAGGACGAGAAGCAACGGGTGGAAACTAATCAAAGAGAGAAGCAACCTAGAACTAAGGAGAAACTTCCTGACCGTTAGAACAATTAACCAGTGGAACAACCTGCCTCCAGAAGCGGTGAATGCTCCAACACTGGAAGTTTTTAAGAAGAGACTGCACAGTCAGTTGTCCAAAATGGTATAGGGTTTCCTGCCTGAGCAGGGGGTTGGACTAGATGACCTCCAAGGTCCCTTCCAACTTTATTATTATTATTGTTGTTGTTGTTGTTGTTACATTTGACCTACAACCAGCCTAGGAACCCCTCAGAATCTAAATCAACCACAAAGCCAATCAGAGAGAGGACCGACCCTCAACCAACCCACGCAAGCCCCCTTCCCCCCCACCAGCAGTTCACCTCCCAATGACCTCCATCTGATGTGATCTCCCCACCACAAGACCCATCACAAGCCTCTCCCTGATGACTCACACCTGACCCATCACAAGACCCTCACTTGACCCCTGACCCACAACTGAAGCTCTGATAAACAGAAGAACAGCCCACACTGACATTCCCCTAAACTCTGCTGAAGATGTTACCTACCCTGGTAACGAGACATTCAGAAACCATCCCACCAGCTTGGAGAATGAACCTTCGCCCTTAATTCCAAATTTTGGGCAAAAATGGCCCATGACAACCACGGCTTTGATTAATGAGCATGCTGGCTCAGGAATTCTGGGAGTTGAAGTCTGTGAGTCATAAAAGAGCCAAGGTTGCCTACCCCATCCTACACCATTTCAGACAAATGGCTGTCCAGTCTCTTCTTAAAAACTTCCAGTGTTGGAACATTCACCGCTTCTGGAGACAGGTTGTTCCACTGGTTAATTGTTCTAATGGTCAGAAGTTTCTCCTTAGTTCTAGGTTACTTCTCTCCTTGATTAGTTTCTACCCGTTGCTTCTTGCCCTGCCTTCAGGCACTTTGGAGAACAGCTTGACTCTGTGTCTGTTGATGGAACTGCAATTAGAATTAAATGCCCGGTTTAATCCTAAAATGTGGTCATGTGACAGCAGGTCACATGGCCATAAACGCAGGCCGGTTGCTGAGCACCTAAACCGCAGGGGGAGGGCAACCATCAGAACTTTGAATCTGGGTTGTAAGTACCCCCCAGGCAGGTCCATCAGAACTTCATCGCTAAGCAACTGTAATAAGTCAAGGACTACCAGTATCTTTAACTCTAGCAATTTTGCTTCCTGCTTTTGACTCCACAAACAAGAACGATATAAGATTCCAGTTCTCTCCCAATTGATCCAGACAGTCTCAGGGGCCGTTCCCGGACTCTCAGCGTTCTGTGAAATAAAAATTGTTTGCCAGAAATTGAAGATATTTGGAAAAAATGTAAACCCATGTCTTTTCGTTACTATTTTGGCTGGGAAATTCTGGGACGTGAAGTCTACACATCTTGAAGTTGCCACGGTTCGGAAACTTTGATATAAGCTCTGGTTAATAAATACACAAACACTTTCTTGGCAGACTTAATCCACAGGTTAAGGTGAACTCTCCTTCCTCCCCAGAGCTCTTACCTCTTGGACTGGTCTGCCTCTTCTCAATCAACTAAATGCTTTCCACGATCTGTAACAGATCCAGAGCTCAACTAAATTAGACTTTTCTGGGTTTGTTTTTTTTCCCCTTAGTCTCCAAACCTTCAGGACTGCAAGTTGCTCCTCAACCCAAGCTGGGAAAACTCTTCGCTTCCAACATCTCTGACATATCTCTCCATCTGACCTGGCGGGTCCTTACTGGAAAATTTGAATCGTTCAGCATTGAGTACAGAGACGCAGAGGGCAAAACCCAGGTGTTGTCTGTAGACACCAACGCCCGGGATGTGGTCATTTCCAACTTGGTGCCCTCCCACATATATAAGTTCAACCTCTACGGCATCTCTCAACAGAAACGATTCGGTCCCGTCTCTACTGAAGCGGTCACAGGTCAGAGGCTCAAATTTCTTTATGAAGAAAAATAAAAGTTGTTCTCTCTCCCCCCCCCCCCAGCTGATTATTTCCTTCCCAGGCTGCTTCTGGCTGCCCTGTATTTAAGCGCTATACATAGAACTTTATATAAGTGGGATGGGCTTCCCCCCAATCCGAGACCATAATGCAGTGATGGTGAACCTTTTAGAGACCGAGTGCCCCAAAACCCTGTCCCGCCTGCTCTGCCCCTCCTCGCCACCCCCCACCCCACTCGCCCGCACGGCCACTCACTGCCTCCAAGGCCCACTGCAGATCGCCCAGGCAGCCCAGCAGTGCCATGGCGGCCACGCCCTCCACCCGTGCCCCGCAGCATCAATTGTGCGCGACGGGGTGCGAGGGTGGAGTCTTGTCCTCGCTGCCCGACTGCCATGTCCTTGGCTGCACTGCTCCGTGCAGACCACGCCCTAGGGCGACTCTCCTCCAGGGGGGCTGCTGGTGAGGAGGGGGCGCAAGGGGAGGCGGGGCTGGGGTGACGGCACACGTGCCCACAGAGAGGGCTCTGAGTGCCGCCTCTGGCACGCGTGCCATAGGTTCGCCACCACTGCCATAATGCAAGGACGTCTCTGCAGAAAGAGGACTAAGGGGGGGAGAAGCTCTCTACAACTTAGTAAGAGAAGACTTTGCAAGGGATGAGAATGTCTGGAACGTGACTCGGGATTCCAAGGACAAACAAACTCAATTGGGATTCCAGGAACACAAGTTTTATTGGAACAAAGCATTTGCAAAGGCTGGTGGACTTCACTCACGCGGGAGAGTAAGCCACACACACACAATTTTTAAAAGCATACATTTATACCGTTACGAAGCTAATCCCCCCACCCTTATCTCACTCAACAGTTCACCTGCTTATCTCGATCAGCTAATCCGAAGCGCCTAAACAGAATACATTTCCTTTCCCCCTCCCAGGAAGCCCCTTGCGGTCTGCTATACCTGTTGGGTCAAAGTCCTTTAACCATGACCTACTTTTTTGCTAGCCTAAGCTCTGTCTTCATTTTCGTATTTTCTCTGCTTGTAGTTACTGCTGACTTCCTAACAGTTAGCTACATGTCTGATATCAAGACAAAACCTTACATATGTCAACATCTTTACCTCTAGAACAGGGGTAGGCCACCTTGGCTCTTTTATGACTCGTGGACTTCAACTCCCAGAATTCCTGAGCCAGCCACGCTGAGGGGAAAGGGAGAGGTTTGCAAGCTGAGCCATGCTGGCTCAGGAATTCTGGGAGTTGAAGTCCGCGAGTCATAAAAGAGCCAAGATGGCCTACCCCTGCTCTAGAAGCTCAAGTAACTCATTTTGCAACTATTAAGCCCACTGCTCAAGTTCCAGCTAGGCTATTAGGATTAAATTTCTTCACAAGCTACTACTAATGACTTACTACCCCTGCGTATAAGTCTTTAAGATAAATGAGTTTGTGCTTTCACCTCACCCACCTAAGAAGGACATCTGTATTCATTAAACAATTTCTGATTTTATGTTTTTCTATCCCTTACCAGAGCATGCCTCTTTTGGAGTAAAAAGGTCGGAGTTCCTCTGATTTTTGCGGAATCCATTCAAGTCCCAGATAGATAGATAGATAGATAGATAGATAGATAGATAGATAGATAGATAGATAGATAGATAGATAGATAGATAGATAGATAGNCCCCCCCCCCTGCATTTTACAGAATTCATTTAGGTCCTTGCCGAACTCTTGAGTTTCCATGGAACCCAGCTCGGATATCCCATGTTAGATCCCTCAGCGCTTTGCAAAAAGCACGGCACCTTTTGTGTAGCATTTTATAGTTTTTTTTTTCTTCCAGCTCAAGTGAAGGACTCAGAGACAAAACCCAAACTGGGCGATCTCTCCATCTCCGGAGTCACCAATGATTCTGTCCGTCTTTCATGGACCGTCTCGTCCGGGAGATTTGACTCTTTTCTTATCCGATACAAAGACGCCCAAGGGAACCCTCAAAACGTGCCTGTTGGCGTGGACTCTCAGACCGTTTTCATCTCTAACTTAATACCGTCTCACAAATACAAGTTCAGCCTTTTCGGCATCTCTGGGAAGAAACAGTTTGGACCAGTTTCAATTGATGCTGTCACAGCAGGTGAGTCTCTCTTGGAGCATCCTTGGTGCTCTCTGAGCGTGATTGTTTCCTTGCAGACGTTTCCTTGGCCAAATTAGGTTGCTGTAGTGATGATGATGATGATGATGATGATGATGATGATGTTGGAAGGGACCTTGGAGGTCATCTAGTTCAGGGGTGTCAAACTGCCGGCCCGCGGGCTGGTTTCATCATACCGGAGCCGCGCCCACCCCATTGCCGGCAATGGCAAAAAAAAAGCTACGTGACGTCACGTGACATCACGTGATGTCGCGAGTTTGACATGTCTGATCTAGTCCAACCCCCTGCTCAGGCAGGAAACCCTATACCATTTCGGACAAATGGCTGTCCAGTCTCTTCTTAAAAACTTCCAGTGTTGGAGCATTCACCACTTCTGGAGGCAGGTTGTTCCACTGATTAATTGTTCTAACTGTCAGGAAGTTTCTCCTTAGTTCTAGGTTGCTTCTCTCCTTGATTAGTTTCCATCCGTTGCTCCTTGTCCTGCCTTCAGGTGCTTTGGAGAGTACCCTGACTCCCTCTTCTTTGTGGCAACCCCTGAGATACTGGAACACTGCTATCATGTCATGCCTAGTCCTTCTTTTCACTAGAGTAGACATAACCAATTCCAGCAACCGTTCCTTATATTTTTTAGCCTCTAGTCCCCTAATCATCTTTGTTGCTCTTCTCTGTACTCTTTCTAGAGTCTCAACATCTTTTTTGCGTCACAGTGACCAAAACTGGATGCAGTATTCCAAGTGTGGCCTTACCAAAGCATTTTAAAGTGGCATTAACACTTCATGTGATGTCATGGTTCCAATAGATCAGGGATGTCAAACTTGCAACGTCACATGATGTGTTGTGACGTATCGTGACTTTTTTCCCATTGCTGGAAGTGGGGTTGGCGCGGTTTTGGCATGATGCATCCGGCCTGAAGGCCGGCAATTTGATACCCCTGCGATAGATGGAACCAAATAAATCAGAATATGGTTAAGTGAACCTGGCTCCCTCGTTGACTTTGCTTGTCAGAAGGTCACAAAAGGGGATCACATGACTCTGGGACAATGCAACCGTCATAAATATGAACCAGTTACCAAGCGCCCAAATTTTAGTGATGTGACCATTGGACACTACAACAGCCGTAAGTGTACAAAATGGTCATAAGTCGCTTTTTTCCAGTGCCGTTGAAACTTAGAACGGTCACTAAATGAACCGTTGCAAGTTGGGGACTATCTGTATGTCTGTAACCAGAGCATCCTAAACCCAGCAGCTGGACCTGAGCCAAGTCATTATTCCCCAAGTATCTGTTTTCCATTTTTAAATATATGTCACCTTCCTCTTTCACAATTTCCAGCGTCTGCCTTCATCAGTCCCTCAGAAATCCATTCTTGTTTCTTTATTTCTGAGGATTTTCAATCGGCCTGGATTTGAAACGAGTCAATTCAGATGCTTAGCGATTGATACATATTTATGATGGTGGCCGTGTCCCAGGGTCACACGATCACCTTCCGCGACTGTTGACCCGGACTTAGAGGACGTGCAGATGGCCCCGCTATCTCTGGCCACTTGCAGAACCATGAATGCAAGGTCATAAAAGGACAGCAAAGGAAACACCCAATATCCTAACCCACCCGGGAACATATGGTGTCTTGTTGTTAGTTGCAAAGTCGTGTTCGACCCATCGCGACCCCGTGGACAACGTTCCTCCAGGTCTTCCTGTCCTCTGCCATCTTCTGGAGTCCATTGAAGCTCACGCCTACTGCTTCAGTGACTCCATCCAGCCACCTCATTCTCTGTCGTCCCCTTCTTCTATTGCCCTCAATCTTTCCCAGCATTAGGCTCTTCTCCAATTAGTCCTTCCTTCTCATTAGGTGGCCAAAGTATTTAAGTTTCAACTTCAGATGTGGTGTCTTAGGAAAACACCTAAACCACCCAAAAGGGAACATATGATGTTTTGGAGAAACACCCCAAAAGGGGACATTTTTAGCTACTTCTGCTTTCTTCCTTCTTATCTACAGTGTGCCAGCCTTAAAGGGCGAAGTCTTCATCTTATGTGTGTCAGCTTTGCTGGGTGAATTGCTTATGTAATCAAAGGAAGCATAAGAATAAGGCTTTTCTGATATTTGGGGCTTTTTCTCTCTTTTAGAGAAGCCCGTCTTTGTTCAGCTGAATAAAAACATAACGCTGGAAGGTAACTTCTGGTTCCCTGTATTTTTGTATCAAGCAAAACCTCAGAACCTGCATAGCACGACCTTCTGACAAGCAAAGTCAATGGGGAAGCCATCAAGATGCCCTTCGTAACTGTGTTACTATTTTAACCACCGCAGTGATTCATTTAACAACTGTGGCAAGCAAGGTCGTAACGTGGGGCAAAGGTCGCTTAGCGTACGTCTCATTTAGCAGCAGAAATTTGGGGCTGGCTCGCAATCCTACGTCGAGGACCAGCTGTGCAGGAGAGAATGAAAAGGAAGCACACACACACACACACAGGCCAGAAGGACACGCTACAGACACACAGTGCAAGGGAGCGGGTTTGAAGCATTTGGCTCACCGTTGTTTTATTGATGAGCTGCCATCTTTGTGATCTGGCCAACCGCCTGCCAAAGGAAAAGGAATGTGCTTTTCACACGCTGAAAGTACTTGTTTTAAGAAACCAAGCCAGTAGATCAAGATCAAGGGAAGTCACCACTCCGTACTACATCAACGAGGCCACATCTGGAATCTTGCATCCAGTCTGGCTCACTCCCATTCGGAAGTGGCCAATAGCAAGACTCGCACTGGGGTCAAAACAATGTCATCTACCTTCATTTGAACTCATTCCCGGTTTGCGGGGCCCCTCGCCCCTTTTGCCCCTCCCTGAGCCCTGGTGCCACAGTGGTTAGATAGCAGCATGGCCGGCCACTTCTGCTGACTGCCGGCTGCCAGCAGTTCGGCAGTTCGAGTCTCGCCATCTCAAGGTCGACTCGGCCTTCCGTCCTTCCGAGGTGGGTAAAATGAGGACCCAGACTGGGGGCAACACGCTGATTCTGTAAAACGCTTAGAGAGAGCTATGAAGCGCTGTGGAGCGGTATATAAGTCTAAATGCCGTTGCTATTCTTTCTCCTGCAGCTTTTTCGGAAAGCGCCAGCAGTCCAGCCCCTTTGCTCAGTTCTCTTGTGGTCTCTGAAGTGACCTCTACAACTCTGCAGCTCAGCTGGGATGTCCCAGAGGGGGAGTTTGACTCCTTCGTCGTGAGATGGAAGGACAATTTGGGCAGCGGCCAAACGCCTGTCCCAGCCAAAGAAGTTAAAGTGCCCGGGGACGAACGCTCCGTCACCCTCCAAGGACTCGCACCCAGTACCGAATACAGCCTGACAGTCTATGGCATCAAAGATGAGTCAGAAGTGGCCGATATCAACACCGGAGCAAAGACAAGCGGGCTAGGTAAAAAGTGGCAGTGTGGGTTACCCCAATGTCAAAACAAAAAATAAAAAAACCCAAAAGAACAAATACTTCTCAATGAAAGTATTAACATAGTAAGTGGGTGTCAGTCACAAGAAGAGATTTAGCTGGCTAACTGGATAGATAGACTGACAGACAGACATACAGATAGATGGATGATAGATAGATGATAGATAGCCAGATAACTAGATAAACAGACAGATAGACAGATAGATAGATAGATAGATAGATAGATAGATAGATAGATAGATAGATAGATAGATAGATAGATAGATAGATAGATAGATAGATAGATAGATACATAGATACATAGATACATAGATAGATAGATGTAGATAAATGATAGACAGATAGATAGATATAGATAAATGATAGATAGACAGATACATAAATGATAGGTAGATAGATATAGATAAATGATAGACAGATACATAAATGATAGATAGACAGATAGATAGATAGATAGATAGATAGATAGATATAAATGATACAGACAGATAGATAATATAGATAAATGATAGACAGATAGATACATAAATGACAGATAGATAGATAGATAGATAGATAGATAGATAGATAGATATAGATAAACGATAGACAGACAGATAGATATAGATAAATGATAGATAGACAGACAGATAGATATAGATAAATGATAGATAGATAAAGATAGATAGATAGATAGATAGATAGATAGATAGATGATAGACAGACAGACAGATAGATAGATATAGATAAATGATAGACGCACAGACAGACAGACAGACAGATAGATAGATAGATAGATGATAGAAATAGAGAGGTAGATGATAGAAATAGGTAGAGAGAGAGAGACAGACAGACAAATGGTTAGACAGATAGATATGTCATAGCTAGGTAGACAGACAAAGAGCATATAGATTCATTCATTCATTCATTCATTCATTCATTCCTTGGCAAAGCTACAAATATGCCTGTTGCTTAAAAGCCTTGCCCCGTATCTATTGGCTGGGCTTCTGTGATGTCATAGAAAGAATAGAATAAGGACCTTTCAGGTGGGTGAAGTAACCCCTTGGGCAATTCTTGGAAGGGAAAGAGAAGACCTGGGAAATGAGATTGCGGTGAAGGGTGCCTTGTGGTGTCCCTGACAAATGTGAAGTGAAGGTTTTTGGGAGAACTTGGAACTCACAGAACTGGTGGGAAAATAGTTCGGCTTTGCCAGAAAAGTCTAGGGATCTTTGGCTAGAAATCAGAGGAGGAAAAGAGAACCGTCTCTGGCCTGTTTTCGTCGTCCTTCCAGATTTCACTGGAGAGGCGTATCAACCACAGCTGTAGTAGCGCGTGATGCTCTTCCTGGTTCCCTCCCTCTGCCCTGGGAATTAAGCTAGGAACTACTATAATAGGGGCCTCTTCCTACTTCTGGAGGAGGTCAAGAAATTCTTTTCACGGTTGCCAAGAAACCATGTACAGACTCCAGTTTCTACTCTCACCTCCGCTACAACCTGCCCTCTCTGTCGAGTTTGAACTGTACCTGCTCATCTGCCCTAGGCAGGCCATTTTGGGTTATTGAGGCGGAGGCCACGATATTTAAGAGCTCAGAGCTGGCCTTGTGGGAGACCACAAGCATCTCAACAGCTGTGCAGTCTTGGCTTGGTTCACCTCAGGCTGGGCCAGCTTCCAGCTGTGGTTTCTTTCCTAAGCCCTGAGTGATTCGTCTTTGGCACTTTGCTGTTTTCTTTGCGGTTGGCCAGATTGTCCACCGCGGGTCCCAAGAGGGAGGGAGGGAGAGAGGGAAGACTTTAAGGGGAAGGGGCGTAAGAGGCCGGTGCCAAACCACACGCCTCGTTTCTGTGCTTCTCTCTTCTCCAAAAGGCCCAGCTGCAGCGCCACCTGGGTTAAAAATCCACGAGGACATTTTTCATTTCTTCCTAAAAGGGGGGGGGGAAAGGGGGGGAGCAAAGCCCCAATTTGGACTGAGAGAAAGGGAGTTTATTTTTATTTTTTTTTGTAAAAGTTTTTATTAGTCCCCCCCCCCATTCAGTAATAATTTTTCAACCAACGTGCCGTCTGAGTTTACATTCGCTAGTACAGCGGTTCTCAACCTATGGGTCGCGACCCCATTTGGGGTCGATCGACCATTTCACGGGGGTCGCCAAGCAAGGCTGTCTGCCATTTTTTCCCCCTTTTCCGGCGGGTGCCTTACCTCCCTTGAGCTGGGCTAGCTGGTGGTCGGCCTGCTCCTTCTCTGCCGCTTGCCAGCTACGCCTCGGCCGGCGCAGGGGGCAGAACCACACATGTGCGGCGCTCCCAGGCAGGGAAAGTCCTCGACTTACGATCGGTTGGGTAGTCCTCGACTTACGGCCGGTTTAGTCCTCGACTTACGACCGGTTTAGTCCTTGACTTACGACCGGTTGGGGGTCGCGGCATTAAAAAGGTTGAGAACCACTGCACTAGTACATATTTAATTCCTAATCCTTTCTTCTTTCCTCTGGCCATCGACAAAATAAGTCCCAAGTTTGACAATATTTCGTTTCTTCTTTTTCTTTCAGTCTCATGGTCAGTCTGTCCATCTCTGCGCACTCTACTATTTTTTTATTATTATTATTTCTTCATCTGATGGTATTCCTTCATTTTTACGGCATGGCGCAAATATAGTTCTTGCCCTGTTGTGATGTGCACAATCAAATATCAGCTTTGTTTTTTAGTCTTTTCTGGCATTATACCTCATTAAAAAAAAGTTCAGGTTTAAAATCTACATGTTTAGCGTTTTGCTGGCCGTAGCCCCCCCCCACCCGAGGCAGCTTCCCCACGTAACCCCTTGCTGCATTTTAAGGCGATCATAACATTTACGCTTCATTTTTGGGGGGTTGTCTTTTATAATAATAATAAAGTTGGAAGGGACCTTGGAGGTCATCTGGTCCAACCCCCTGCTCAGGCAGGAAACCCTATACCAGTGGTTAACCTTTTTAATGCCGTGACCCCAACCGGTCGTAAGTCGAGGACTAAACTGGTCGTAAGTCGAGGACTAAACCGGTCGTAAGTCGAGGACTACCCAACCGGTCGTAAGTCAAGGACTTTCCCTGCCCGGGAGTGCCGCGCATGCATGGTTCCGCCCCCTGCGCCAACCGAGGCGTAGCTGGCAAGTGGCAGAGACAGAGCAGGCCGACCACCAGCTGGCCCAGCCCAAGGGAGGTAAGGCACCCGCCGGAAAAGGGGGAAAAATGGTGGACAAAAAAAATGGCTGACAGCCTTGCTTGGCGACCCCCATGAAATGGTCGATCGACCCCAAATGGGGTCCCGACCCACAAGTTGAGAACCACTGCCCTATACCATTTCAGACAAATGGCTGTCCAGTCTCTTCTTAAAAACTTCCAGTGTTGGAGCATTCACCGCTTCTGGAGGCAGGTTGTTCCACTGGTTAATTGTTCTAACTGTCAAGGAGTTTCTCCTTAGTTCTAGGTTGCTTCTCTCCTTGATTAGTTTCCATCCGTTGCTTCTTGTCCTGCCTTCAGGCACTTTGGAGAATAGCTTGACTCCCTCTTCTTTGGGGCAGCCCCTGAGATATTGGAACACTGCTATCCTGTCCCCCCTCGTCCTTCTCTTCATTAAACTAGACATATCCAATTCCAGCAGCCGTTCCTTATATGTTTTAGCCTTCAGTCCCCTGATCATTTTTGTTGCTCTTCTCTGTACTCTTTCTAGAGTCTCAACATCTTTTTCACATCGTGGTGACCAAAACTGGATGCAGTATTTCAAGTGTGGCCTTACCAAGGCATTGTAAAGTGGTATTAATACTTCACGTGATCTTGATTCTATTTGTTTTATATTAGAGCAGGGCTCTCCAAAGTTGCAACTTTAAGACTTGTGGACTTCAACTCCCAGAATTCCCCAGCCAGCAAGTCCACTAGTCTTAAAGTTGCCAGGTTCGGGGAGCCGTGTATTAGAGGATTGGAGAGCAATGGATGTTTCCTCTTTTGACTAAGAAATTGACTCTTCCTACAAGGATAGGATGTCTTCCTTGGATTATTTTCTACAAAAGCTACACAGATCCATCTCTCACTTGTTTTTTCTTCTTTCAGAGCTGGATGGTCCCCAGGACTTGCGGTTCAGTGACATTCATGAGACCTCTGTGGTAACCAACTGGAGCCCTCCGTCTTCTCGCATTGATGGCTACAAAGTTTCTTTCCAGCCCTCAGATGGGGGTAAGTGTCTTTACCTATTTGTTCCTCAGGAGTGTGTGTTAACACCACGCGGAATGTCTTAGCTGAATTCGCCCAGTGTGCCAGAATGAGCTAAGATGCAATGGAGTTAAGGTTAGCATCTTGAGGAAAAGCCAACTCTTACGAACCAGTTTAACGTAGTTTATTTGGGCACAGGGTCATGAGTAGAATTAGGGTTGGAGTTTGTTTCAGCACAGCAGTTGTGTTTTATGAAACTGCATTTAAGGTTTACTGTATCATGTTAATCTAGTTGCGCCTCCTCAGTGATCTTAAAATTTTGTAACTGTGAACCAAGGGTCAACTCTAACACTATTGTTTCCATGTGGTAATGTTGACAGCCAGTTTGATCTAGTGCCATGGTGATGAACCTATGGCACGTGTGCCACAGGTGGCACGCAGAGCCCTCTCTTTGGGCACGCACGCCGTTGCCCCAGTCCTAGGCCTTCAGCTGGGTTTTATAAAACCTTTTTGCTTTAGGCCTCCGCCGTCGTGTGCCAAAAAAAAAAAAAAAGGTTCAATCAGTCAACTTCAACTTCTCGCGGGGAAAAAATAGATCTCGCAAAGTTGGAATTGATTGATTGAACTTTTTAGTCCCATCCAGTCTGCCATTACCACCACAGCCATGCCCACCCAATGGGCCACACCCACCCAATGGGCCACACCCAGCCAATGGCCACACCCACCCGGCACCCGACGATGCATAAATGGGTTTTGGGTTGCAGTTTGGGCACTCGGTCTCTAAAAGGTTCACCATCACTGCCTTAGGCACAGGAACTGAGTTTGAGTTGGTCACTCTCTCTCAGCCGTAAGAAGGACATGGCGATAGCAAATCAGAGCTGATCTTGTGGGAGAAGTGTTATGAATTAAGTCAGCCTGTCATTCAGTGCAGGCTTCTCTAGTCTGGTCCTCTCCAAATGATTCAGACTACAAATCCCATCGTGCTCAGCCAAGATGTGCCTTTCCCATGCTAGCTCAACAAGCTGTCTATCGTACTGGATGGCACCAAATTAAAAAGCACATAATCTCTGTCCAGTACTTCATAGCAATAGCAATAACACTTATATACCACTTCATGGTGTTTTACAGCTCTCTCTAAGTAGTTTACAGAGTCAGCATATCACACACACACACACACACACACCAATCTGGGTCCTCATTTTACCAACCTCGGAAGGATGGAAGGCTGTCAACCTTTGAGCCAGTCAGGATTGAACTGCTGGCAGGTGGCAGAGTTAGCCTGCGATACTGCATTCTAACCACTGCGCCACCACGGCTCTTAATACAGCTCATAACAGCTGCAGAGATATATCAGCTCTGTTTTTTCTGTTTTAGGGGAGCCCAAGAGCATTTCGGTGGATGGATCTGAACTCAGGACATTCATTGAGGGTCTGACTCCTGGGGCCAGCTACGAGGTCGCTGTAATGTCTATACGTGGGTTTGAAGAGAGTGAGCCATTGGTGGGCTATGTCACCACAGGTAATTCATGAGGGCGAGATGCTTAAATGTTATCTAGCAACAGAACTACCTATTGATTGATTGATTCATGTTGATTGATTCCCGTATTGATACACTATTGATTTATTTAGTGCCAGCTCTTTGAGCCAAGGCAAGAAAGAGAGACTACCCAAACTATCGGGCTTTTATTTCATTGATCTAGTCTTACCAATGAAGGCAAATATATATATCGTGCATACCAACCAGGATAATGTTACAGAATCCAGTCTGGGTCGGTCACTGGGGTCAAAGGTTCAGTTTTCCTGAAGGCTCCAGCACAAGGCTGAAAGCTTGGAAGACTAAACCTCTGGTCCCGGTGACCAACCCAGATTGGATCCTGATCTAACCTTGCCTGACTAGGATCCACATCTCCGAAGCCTCCCTTATGCCATATAGCAGACTTCCCCAACCTTTCTGGGTTGGCGGCCCAGGGCAGGGAGAAGAGGGGGGAAAGAGGGGATGGTTTTGTGGGAGAGGCAAGAGCGTGCACACATGTGTGCGTGCACAAGCAGCCATTGCTCACTCAAGTGGGGCTTCAAGTGCCCGCGACGTTCGCACGAAAATGGCCGTGAGCACCCACGACGCTCACGCGAATGAGGCCATGAGCACCCATGACACTCGCATAAATGGGGCTGTGAACCCACGTGACGCTTGCTGAGTGGGGCCGCAAGCCCCCA